TAGGAGAACCTGACTCTAATACCAGTTGTTGGATCGGATGAGTTACAGCTTCAAAGGAAGCTAATATGATGAGCAAATTTAGAGAGAGAGAATCGAGGAGAGAAAGAGAGGACATCAAAACAGGGTATAAGGCTGCAAAAGCCTCTGTTTTTCATATTGCAGAAAGATGATGATTTTTGGAGAGGAAAAAAGGATAATTTTCATTTATTTGCACGATTATATTTATAAGCACAAAGTTGTGCTTGATTACAACAAAAAAACAAACGATAAGATTAAACTCAGAAATTCATGCATACACGCTGCACGACAGCTACGTAGGCTGCAGTGAAACATTTTCTTCACAGTTTTATTTGAATTTGAATTTGAATAAGTAAATAGATAAAATCATTAAAATCAACAAGCCCCAAGCTCATATGAAAAAAGATTGCCAGAAACCCTAAAATAATCACCAACACCATTCACCAGACACCTGCTAGCGGTAGTCGACACTGTTACCACCACAAGCTCCGAAAGGAATCGATCAGCTGACCCTTGAAGATCTATTGCGAAACTCTATTGGAAATTGGTACACACACTGACACAAGCTCCCACAACCATTGACACTTGTGAATTTGGACTTCTACACTGTCACGTCCTACACCACCCTCCAATATGAGATCAGCACATCCGACTGAACTGCCTGCCAAATGACAACTGTTGTCCAATGACCAGAAGCTGGAGCGTGAAGCTCACACATGGTGAGTAGATCTTGTGCAATCTGTTCTATTTGAGCTTCTGCAATCAGTTCGATCCTCAACCAGACTTCAACAATGGTGATTAATGCTAAATTAAATGCTAAACTTGAGACACATGAGGCAACCACTTATACTGGATTGGAAATAATGCAAAACACTATTGAAGCAATCTTGAAGAACTGAGATACAAGTATGTCCACTAATTCAAAGTATACAAGTTGAACAAATAGCCAATAGAAGATACATTGAAGATAATCCAAAAATATTATCAAGAGAGTAAAGGTCGAAGCTCCTGATTTTAATGGAAGAAGAGGTCCAATTTCTTTCTTGATTGGTTCAATTCAATGGAAGAATACTCCAACTAGTATGACATATCAGATGCATGAAGAGTTCAATTTGCCAAGACGAAGTTGGTTGGACTTGCAAAAATATGGTAGTATATTATTGATGAAAATATAACAAGGAGACAACCAACAAATATGGGATGAGCTGAAAACTATTCTTCATGAAAAGTATCTACCTCCCAACTACTTTGACAAACTTCGTTACCAAGTTCATACTTTAGTCCAAGGTAATATGTTAGTAACTGATTATACTGAAGTTTGAAGAATCAAATATTCGAAATCAACTAGTTGAAGATGATAGTCAAACAACATCTCGATCTAAGGCAAGACTAACAATTGATTATAAGAAAATTAATTTAACCTCCTGTAACTATAGCGTAAACTTTTCATGCCACCCTTGATGTGGTAGAATATCTAAAATATCTAATCCCAAAAAACATTGTAGAGACCACACCTAAGATATATTTGAATCAAAAGATGAGCTGAAAAATAGATCAACATCAAATTTCAAAACTCCTAAAGGTAAGGAAGTTGTGTGCTTTAGATGTAATCCTAAACAATTGTACATTTCTATTATTTTAGGTATTGACGAGAACAACCAAACATAAAGGTTATTAAGTTTTCATGGGAAAGCTCGAAAGTCAAGATTTTATATCATTTTCCACTTCAAAACGTATGAACGAGTTTTCCCAACAAGGGGAGAATGACGGAGAATGGGCTAACATTAAATTTTCTTAAATAGTTTAAAAATTATAATTATATTAAATGTAAAACTACTATACTATTTATGAATCTATATTATTGAAAAAAATTATTATAGTTTTAGTAATTTAGAATTTTTATTCTTATTAATATTTCTCTATTTGTATTAAAAGATTTATATTAGAATTAGTATTCTTAATATTATTAGTATTCGTTTTCCATTCTATTAATTTACTATTTCTTATTTTAATTCTATTTAGTAAAGGTTACTTAGAAATTATTATAAATAACTTATAATTTCACTTATTGGAGCATTCAAATATTCAATAATTTTCTTTTTTTTTTTTAAAAGTATAAAGTATCATAAAATCACCAGTATCAAGAGTATGTCACCCATGTACTAAAATATTTACATGTTAGTTAGTATGTCAATAAAATTCTCAAATTCCTCAAAAGAAAGAATAAGATACCTCATAACCAAAAAATCCAATATCTAGAGCCATCTTGCTCTAACTCTAACAAACTCCTCTTCTACCCTCTCAAAATTTCTCTTATTCCTCTCCTTCTACACTATCCATAAAATGGTAAGAGAAATGACATTTATGTGTTTCCTCCCGTTACTAATGTCTTTCCAAGGGCAAATCTCATCTCTTACAGAACCAACTATTGGCCAACTAATTCCTAGTAATCTCTAAGCTATTGTCCACAGCTTGTGCGTGAATAGGCACCAAAGCATAGTATGATTACAAGATTATGCCTTCCTTTCGCATAGAAAACAACTATTCACCATAATTTTTCCTCTCCTCGTCAAATTATCAATTGCCAAAATACACTGGCGTCATGCCTCCCACCAAAAAAAAAAAAATTCTTGGAGGAGCATTCACCTTCCATATTTGTTGGAACGGAAACTTGGGCTCTACCATTTAATTCTTAACCATGTAACTATAGTATGACTTGACCGTGAAGAAACCATTTCTTTTAAGGTCTTGTTTGGATGATGGTTCAATAATGATGGTATGGTTTTTTCATTATTATTTTCTATTTGTTTGCATTTTCATACACATGATATAATTTTTTGGTGGTTGAATCATGGTTCTCAAAATCATAATTTTTCCTATCTTTTCAAACCATTGATTCGGTGGTTTTATGATGGTTTGATAATTTTTTCTCTTTATACCCTTAATATTTTTTGTTATTTACAACATTATCCTTCTCTTTAATTTCTTCTACCCGACACTTCTTATATTCTTCTTATTCTCAAACTATTATATATATATATATTTAATTATATATACTTTTCTATATATAAACATGTATTTATATATTTAATTAAATTTATGTACTTATATTTTTAATTATATATACATGTATATAATATATTTAATTATATATATTTTATTACATATATACATAAATTTATATATGTATTTATATATTTAATTACATATAAATACATGTATATAATATATTTAGATGTATATATTTTATCATATATATATGTATTTATGTTTTACTTATATATTATACATGTATATAATATTTTAATTATTTATATGTATATAATATATTTAATTGTATATATATCTTTAATTATATTTATGTATATATTTAATTATATATGTTTATATATTTCTATATTTAACACTATATATTTTTTTACTGTTTTCTATTTTTGTTTTTCATTTATTATTATATATAATAAAGAATTGGAAAAAAATAGTAAATTTGTTCAAATATACAATCATACTATCTTATCAATTCAAATAAAAACAACTGTTACTATCAAACAAATTAATCTAAATATAGTTGAATTTAAACATTAATAAATTTTTCACATATCCGACCGTACTCAATATTAATAAACCATCATGCAAGTTATCCAATCAGGGCGTAAGGTTCCATAATGGTTGCTCATTGTTCTCATTAAGGCTGGCCATGGAGAGTATGTTTACTAAAGATTCATACTCATTAACCTTATCTTTAAACCTATTCATTTTTAACCACTTTTCCTCAAATTTAAATGGG